CTAAATAGGTGAATTATGTGGTTTATGAACTATATCTCAATAAAGCTATTTTAAGAGGGAAAAAAAATACACATAACTCAGGCACCCAGCATATATTCTAACTAGCTATAGCCTCCCCAACACTGCAGAGCTACCCATTCCACAGCACCCTACTCAACGAGACAGGTTGTTCTGTCCATTTTATACTCCAAGAAACTGAGGCTAGGTTAAGAAAGAGAAGAAAATGATGAACTACTTCAGAAGAGTCAAGCTGTTGGGGACTCAAAACACTGAACAGCAAGTAGGACCTGGTCCTCTCTTTTTTAGTAATCCTAAATGGAAGCACAGAAATACTCAAACCCCAGAGAAAAGGGGAGGTACACCCTGGAATCACCTAGCCCTACACCATGGGTTCGGACATGTGGACAGGAAATATAGCCCAGATCTAACTATGAGAGCCCAGATGCCCCACCCAAAGCATGGGAAACAACTGGGAAAATACCTGCTCAACTATTAACTGGTTTTCCTTGTCTCTTCCTCTCGTTTCACCTGCTGCAGTCACAGGGTACAAATGGAGGGGACTGAAAAAAAATAACTTCTTGCTCATAGCAGGCAATATGAGAAGACTCAGCCTCCTTGGAGCCCCTACAACTTCTTCTTGTTCCCTATCCCACCTGTTCCCCTTGGTCAGCTGTTGATTATGAGGATACCAGAAAAAAACAGATAGGCAGGTTTCAGATTCAACCAATCAGAAAAGCAGGTTGCTCCAGAGCTCCCTAATTCAGTGTCCTGGCTACAAACTCTGGGAAATTAAGAAATATTGTCCCCACATACCTGGTTACTGGAAAATGAATACAGCAAAGCACTGTGGTCCTAATTATGTATCAATGGATGCAACTGTACAACAGGCCTCAATCCTTAGGGTTAACTCCCTAGATTTAAGGGGAAAACAGCCACCTTTAAGTCTTAGGTCCTAGGCTAGATCAAAGTGCCAGGATTGTCACAACTTGTATGTCAGTGGTTCTCAACCAGGGGCGATTTTGTCCCCCAGGGGACATTCAACAATGTCTGGAGTCATTTTAGATTGTCCTAACTGGGGGATGGGAGTGGTGAGGAGGGTGCTACTAGCGTGAGTAAAAGTGATGGATGCTGCTAAACACCCTATAATGCACAGGACAGCCTCCCACAACAAAGAAGCATCTGGCCCAAAGTGTCAATAATGCTAAGGATGAGAAACCCTATTCTAGATGGAGCATGATGAAGGGTCTAAAGAAAAGACAGAATGTCACTATCCACCCTAGACCTGGATAAGGAACCCATCTGGTCCCCCCAACCCAAACCCATCAAACAATATTTCAGAAGGAAAGGAAAGCCAGTCAGACAAAGACTCATTTAACTTAACTAAGGAGTTCCATTCCACTCCAACCTTGGCTTCTCTATCACCTGCTGTTGCTATTCAGGTGAACAGCAGGTAATAGGGCTACACTCCCTTCTGCCCCCTCCCAGGAGGTCTAATTTGACCTAGTTCAATCTGGATTTCTGTGAAGATTAGAGAAAAGCCATCCCCTGCAAGACAGACAGAAAGGATCCTGCACTTAACCCTTGCAGTCATCTTTAAAGTCCCAAAACTAGATCAGTAGCAGACTCTTCTTGTTAGGTTCCTGGTCAGACTTATACTGCTTATGGATTGAAGCAAAACGTAGAAGAGGTAGAAGTTCCCCAAGGCCATGTCCTTGGGAGAAATGTCAGGAGGCTGGCATGCAGGCTAATAGGCAGCCCTCCCCACTTAATTATCGTTTAGGATGGTGAGTTCACTCACTCAATAATCCAGATGGGGGTTCCAAGAATCTAACTTTGGCACTAAAAGAACGTGACCAATTTCCTCTTAAACCAAACTTTCTGTGGCAGTGAATCGAGGGAACTCAGCTTAAAGTATACTAGATGTAAGGTATCAGAGCAGTGAGGAGAATGTACCCCCTCTAAACAGAAGATCAGAAAGAACTTCTGAATCTTCGTGCTTGAAATATCGTCAGATACCAGGAGACAAACACTCCAGTAAACCAACGTCCTGATCCTGCTGGCTGATTTGGGTACATTTGAGAGCCTAACATATGGATCCCCCAAAGAGGTTCCCCAAACTAGTTCTTTATTCAAATGAATTGCTGCATATCCTGGAGTTGAGGGTTTTGTTGTTGTTGTTGTTTGTTTTCTTTAGGGAGGTCCAAGCCAGCCAAGGGCCAAAAGACAATCTATATGTATCTACAGGACATCCTCTTGATTGATTTTATTGATTGTTCATCTATTAAGTTTCTACTTTCAAGCAGAGTCTAGCCCCATCCCAACCAGGAATGAGATCTGTATTTTTTGAGGTATTTGACTCTCTCAGAAACCCTCAGAGAGGGAAAGTCATATGTAAAACTAAAGAAGAGTGATGTCTTGAAACCTGAAATGTAAAGGACATGGAAAACCTTAAAGATGGCTAAGACTAACACAGAGAGCTTTCTTGTTAGTAGCACCAAGAAAATGTAACCAAATATCTGTAAGTCAGAATTACAGAGTATGTTTTCAAAATGAAGATTCCAGAACAACTCGAAGAAAGAGTAAGCTAAAGGAAAAGTCTTCCCATGGCAGGTGCCTCAGCAACCCTCCAAGGGCAACATTTAGTAGACATTGTACTAGAGTACAGTGTTCCATATGTTTAAAAATGTTTCTCTCAGAGCTGACCAAGAACACTAGATAATAACAAAACAAAGCTGGAGGCTTGCCCAAGGCACCTAATTTCTGCTCTCCTTTCCCTCCTACCAATCTCCAGTTACCCAAAGGGACAGTGACTACAACAGATCTTATGTACTTGGGTGGGTAAAAACCTATTTTCCTTGACATCTAATGTGGGCTCAACCCACATTACATTTCTACTGCCATTTCCATTCCCTTCTATTGTTAGAAAACAATAAAAAGCTCCAGACTTACCTCTGCAAGAAACTTAACTTCCCAGGTCTCTTCCTAGCACAAGATTCAAAGCCAGCAGCAAAACAAAAACAAACGGGGGGCGGGGGAGGTAAATTTTCAAGCTTTATTTTGAAACCTCAGAGACCCAAAGAGTCAGTCAATCTCAGTTGCAAAAATACACAGACAAGCCTAAAGCCATTTCAATTGAAATAATCCACTCTAAGCTAAATGAGAGAACTCAGTTCTAACAAAGTCCCCAGGCTTCCCTAACTCTCTACTACAGAAAAACAATACCAACTCCAGGAACTTCTAGCCTCAGTGGCTCAGGGCAAGAAAGATTCCAAATTCAACAACTTGTAGGAAAACCAATTATCCTCTGACACCTCATCTGATTCCTCAATTCCTTATGAGACCACCTATTTTGTTACAGTGTTAACGTTGACTTTCATCTTTTAAAAGAATTAGGAGGAACGAGGTTAAAGCCAAAGAAGGCACTTTCTTTTCCATCACTTCACTTATAAGATCACAACTATCCTCCAAATTCTATCTTCACTCTTTCCCTTACCTAGCACACAACAAAATATCCACTGGGGCAGTATCCATTCCAACATACACATTTCACCAAGAACATTTTTCATATATGGATACCGACCCCTCCCTCCTAGCACTTAAACAGCGAAAGAAAGGTCTGGAAACTAAACCACTCATTTAATTAGCATGGCTGCCTAGATGCAATCCTGTGTTTTCTGTTTCCCGTCTCAGACTTCCAGAGCCACCACTTTAGCAGACAGGACTCCAACACAGCATGGCTGTTTCCCCATTCTGGCATTGCTAATTACTTAAAACTAGGAAAGCCCTTCACTCCTTCCACACTCCAGCATACCAGCCTCCCCACTTTCCCTTCCTTTGGTAACCAGGGAAAACAAGGGAGCAGCAAGCTAGGGAGCTTTTGGAAAGCAAATCCAGTTGAACCCTCATCCAACCCCAATTCTCCAAACCCACATGACCATTCCCTTCTGCCCTTCCCACTCGAGTAAAAGCTAAAGGCCTGGCAATTAGAATTGGCTGCAACTGATGCTGCTCAACTCTGCTCTCTCTCCCTTTCCACAGGGGAAAGGGAAACTCCCGAACCTCTATCACCCATGCAGCTCCACCGTCCTATCTCCCATCCCGTCCCCCTTCCTCCCAAACTTTCCTCCCAGACTCTCACTTTCTCCATTACCTCGTCACACCGACACGCTCTCCATTCCCCAAACCTCCGTTCTCTCCTTTTCCACCCAGTCTCCCCTAGGCCCTTCCCCCTCCACCTTCAATTTAACACTTAGAGAACCTCCCTCCAAACGTCTCAAGTCCCATCCTCACCTTTTCCCACCTCTCCACAACACCCCTCACAAGAGTCCAGTCCCCCTTCCAACCACAAGCCACCAGCCCCCTTCCCCTTCACACCCTCAGCCTCTCCTTCCCGCTCCTACCCCCTCAGCCCGGCGGGATCGCAGCCCCACTCCCCACCTCGGCCTCTCTAATACCCCTAGCCCGGCCCAGCCTCGGCCCTTGTTTACGCCCCTCCCCTGCCCCACTCCTCCGCCTCGACCCTGCCCTCTCCCACAGTTGCCACCTCCCCCGCACGCCCCCCTCGGCCGCTCCCCTCCCCCACCTCGCAGCGTCCCGTCACCTCCCTCTCCTGAGGTTCTCAGGCTGGACGTCGCCACCGCCTCCCCCTCCACTTTCCTTCCCCAAGCCCTTTGCGGCCCCGCCCGGCCCCGCCCCGTCCCGCTCGACTCCCCCTCCCCACCCCGGCCGCCCCGCCGCCTCACTCTCGGCTCAGGCTCGGCGCCGCCATGTTGGATCCATCCGCTCCGCTCTCCCGGGCCTGTCTCACGGCGCCGCATCCGGGCTCCAGCCGCCGCCGCCGCCGCCGCCGCGGGCGTGGGGGAGGGGAGAGGCGGGCGGGGGTGGCTGCATCCTGAACAGCGCCTCCCGGAACCTGGCCGGTTAGCGGCGGCTTCGAGACCATAGTGAGGCATGAGCCGAAGTAGCCATGCTAGGTGAGGGCAGCCTGGCAGCGGCATTAAACGGGGAGGGAATAGCTTCACTTTGGTAGCAGAGAATAGGGGTTGGCAGCCATCTTGCTTTCGGGCAAGCTGGCAACGCAAGTTGTTCTTCAGGGCGGCTTCAGGGCCGTGTAAAGGCATGAGAGAGGGTGGCATTCTTGAGTGTGGAAACACTGGTGGGTGTAGGGCTGGTTGGTGTCGACTTCAAGACCAACTGAAAGACTGCGACTGGTACCCATGACGCATAAGGGCGGAACATCACGGGGTCAGGGTTGCCCTGCGAACTTGGGGAAAGGTTCATGCTCTGGATTTGACCTTTGCTCTGAGCTTCCTGGTAACCCGGACGTTCTGTAAACCTGAGTCCGGAACAGAAAGCGTTGCTCAGATACCCTCTCAGATTTCACTCTTTGAACATTTACCTTTTGAACACGCGCTTCCTGAAGTGTCGCCTGGGTTGAATCCTGGACTGTTGGGAATTGGGGGTGGGGGGCCAGGTACCATCTGGAACTGCCAGCAGTCTGGTATCATTAAAAGAGAGGTAATGAGGCCTGGGAGGTTGGAAGGGGCCGGTTAACGCGAGGCGTTGTGAATTAATTGATTTTATCCTAAGGGCGATGAATACGTCTTGAAGAGTCTTAGCAGAGGTGTGAACCGATATATTTGCATTTTAGAAAGATCACTAGTTGCAATGGGGAGAATGAATTGGAGGGGACGAACTTAGAGTCAAGAACAATTCGGAAGCTCTTACCAGGTAAGATACGACTGTGGTCTGTCCTATGAAGGGGGAATGCAAATGGGGAAAAAATTGATCGGAAGTGGGTATGAAGCAGAGAGAGGAATCTAGGGTATTTCCTAGTGTTCTGACTTGGGGCAAATGGGGAATAATAATACCATTTTCTTTGTGCTTTGGGAGGTGGGGGAAGAATGAGTTTTAGGTGCCTGTGGGATATCCATTAGACAATGGAACATTAGATAATGTCGGGTGGGAGCCCCAAAGGAGGGTTTGGAGTGTGTGCACGCCTGAGTGTGTGAATATAGAAGGTTGTTAAAGCCGTGGAAGTGAGTAAGAGCCTTGAGAGAGAAATATCTGCATTTAAAGAATGAGATGAGGGAAGGGAACAGAAAAGAGGACACTGAGAAGGGGTAAATAGGAAGGAAATAAGAAACCAGGAGAGAAGTGTCAAGGAAACTGATCAAAGTGTTAACATACAATTCAGGTAAGATGTGGCTAAAATGTATCCATTGGATTTTGCAACAAGTAAGTCCTTTCGTAGTTTTGGAGAAAGCTGTTTCAGAGATAATGGTGGGGTAGAAACAAGATTGAGGTAAACTGAGTGACTGGTAGGCACAATGTATAAAAACAGATTTTTTTCATGCTGTTGACTGCAAAAAGATGCTAGCCATAGGAGATATATATATAATATAATGAGAGAGAGATATATATATCATGAGGGAGATAGATATATATATCATAAGGGAGAAGTCCAAAGAAAGGAAAGTTTTAGATACCTATGGGACAGCCAGATGGAGGTGCGCTAGTGGTAATTGAATACACAGATCTGAAACATAGGAGAAAATATATTAAACGGAAAAAAAGCAAGTGCAGAAGAATATGTATGGCATATTCATACAAGTGTTAAAAAGAAACAAACATGAAGATTAGGCCTGGGAGGGATGAAACTTACACTTTTTATTTTAGATCCATCTTTAGTTTTAATTTGTTTAGTATTGCTTTTATAGAAAACTACTTTTTAAAAACTCCAGTGTTGTACAGGCCAGAAATTCTGAATTATGAACATTTCAGTGGTATTTGAAGCCATAAATTTGGATAAACTCCCCAGAGAACAACAGAGGGCTAAGACAAGTGCCCTGGTGAATTTTAATATTTAAGGCACAAGTAGAAGAAGAGAATCTTGGAAAATCTTCAAAAAGGAACAGCCAGTGAGGAAGGAAAAACACTGGATGGTGATTGTCACAGAAACAGAGGGAAGAGAGTCTTCCAAGAGGATGAAAGTTGTTAAAAGTGTCAGATGTCCCCAGAAAAGCAGCTAGCAGGAAAGGTTAAAAGCTAACTCTAGACCCAGGTTTCCAGGAAGCTTAGCATAAAGGTCAAATCCAGATCCTGAACCTTCCTCCAAATATCATGTGGAATTCAAACCCCATGTATTCCATTCTTCTGTGTCAGGACTGCCAGTTGCAGTCTTTCAGTGGGTCTTGAACTTGACACCAGCCAGTTCTAGCACCACCAATATTTCCACACTCAAGAATACCACCTCTCCCATTCCTTCTTACGGCCCTTAAGCTGCCTTCAAGAAAAACCTGTGTTGTCAGAAATGGCATAGTTAAGGAATCAAAAGTAGGAGTATAAATTGGAGTTGAGAAGGTCAAGAACTAACTAGAGATTGTATGGATTTTCCTAAAACCACCCAGAATGATAGGAAGAGTTGGCACAGAGAGGTTATTAGGCACTCAGTAAGCATGAAGGATTAAGAGTAGTACAGCCAAATGGCATAAGCTTCAAAGAGGGAAGATTTTTTGCAAGAGGATGAAAGCACAGTCATCTGAAGGTAGCAGTGGATAGCAGAGAAGAATGATAGCCTGCCACCCTTTCCTACAGGAGTGGGAGAAAGAACAGCCTCTACTTTAGAAGGTTGAAGAGAAGAGATACCTATTAGAAGAAGCTAAAAATGTCTACACCCCCAGTCCCTCCCTCCGATACTGGAACTGTTCATTTGCAAACAACCTTCCCTATATTCTCTTTTTCTTCACAGATTACTTCCTGGCTTTTCAGAAAGGAACTCATCAGCTGTAATGTATGGAAGGGGGATGTGCCCCACCACATAAGCCCACGAAAGAGGCAGACCCAGACCCTACTTCTTAAAATAGAATCATATTCTCTCTATACCCATATCCAGAAGTGATTTAACACCTAGCAGTCTTGGCATCACAGTAGTAATTCCTTTCCATGAGCCCATCTCCTCTCTAACCTAACCCAACCCCATTTGGAGGATAAAAGAGGAGAGTCCATGCTGAGGACTGCCATCTCTGACACTATGGTGTCCTGTCTGCTCTTTGCAGCCTGCGGGGAAAAGACAGATTGCCCTCTTCACTCAGAATGGAAAGCTAAAGCAAGGGCTGGGGTTCTTTTTCATTAGGCCTTCAAAGTAATCCCTCTTCCTCTATAGGATTTGTAGGTCTTAATCCTTTGCCCTGGGGCCAAACCTTAACTAAATTTTACAAATTCCAGACATTGGGACAATTGCTTGGCCAGCTGTTCGTAAATCAGTCCATTTATGACTACATTTGTAGAAATGTTTTCTGTTTGGGGGACCCTTGAAGTTCACTCTTAATAACATGAAGGTACAGGTGGTATAGGTGCTGAAGAGGTCATACTGCCAATAAAGAGCTGAGCAGATTTCCTGAGGTGAAATGGAGTAAATAACTAACCCAAGGAGATTTGTATAGAGGTGGGCACTCTCATGCCCAACATGGAGAAAAATATTTCAAACAAGATTTTTTTGTCATTTGAGGCTAAACAGCTGTTCCCCTTTGGATTAAACTGTACATCATTTCTGCAGTTACAGCATAAACCTCATCTATTGCCTGATGTTTTTTCCACCCTCTCCTTGCTTCAGCTAAAAACTTGAGAAAACTCTATTGAGAAGTTTGAGAACTCTGTGTAGGATTCTCTTGTTCGTCTGCCTTGTTCCTCAGTTCCTGTCTCTTCCTTCAGGCCTCAGCTGAGATAACATCCCTCTAGCCTTCAAACACTGGCCCCTCCAACTGGACCCTGACTCCCATCTTTTTCTTCTTCTTAATAAACTCTGTTCCCACAATTATCTCTATCCTTCTCTAGAATCTTTAAACTGACATCCTTCTGCTACCTTTCACATGCCTCTATTTCCAGTATGTCTTGCACTATAATTCTTAATTCACTGTAATTTTCAGTGATTAGAAAAGCCTTTTTTTCTGTAATTAGAAAAATCTCTCTGTAACTTCCACTTTCTGGTCCTTTTTTTTTTCCCCTCTCTGAATCAATACATCATAGTTACATGTCAGCTCTTCAGATAGCTAATATGTCCCTACTAAATTTTTTTTCCAAGTCAATGGTAGTACCAATTCAAATTATAATAGATCTATTATCTTCCTTGATCTCAATACTCTATTAAGGCTGCTTGTCCCAGTCCATGCTGTTCCCCAGTTCTGCCAGAATTAAAGTCTTAAAACCAGACTTTCCCTTAAAGAATTCTGCACGCTGTTAGCAACCCATCGTCCCAGGTACCCTCTTGAATCTTCCAGGCCCACTCTGATCCCTGTGGCCCTGCCTGGGCTTTACTCTTGAACTTTATTCTACAGTGACTTGCTGACCTTACAGTCCTTTCTAGTTCTTGGTGCCCCCATTAACTCCAGTTACCAAGCTACTCCAGTTACTCATTTTCACCCAGGCATCATACTGGCTCCTAATTTCACTCGTAATTCAGACCTAGCCGTAAGCCCTTAACTAGAATTCTGGTGACTCCTCGCTCCTAGGGAATAGAAGAAAGGGACCACAATCAGTCACTGACTCCTAGTGATCTGTCCAAAATTCTCCTTAACTTGCTCCCTTTTCTTTGTTTGCCAGCTCTGACCCTCACTAATGTGACTTTAGGCAAGTTTCTTAACTTCTCTGAGCTTATTTTCTCATCTGTAAAAGCAACAAATATAAAATAACATCGATCTCATAGGTCATTGTTCTAAAACTATATTAAATAATATATGTGAAGTATCACCACAGGGCCTAGCTTTGTAAGTACTGGATAAATGTTATCTAATATTTATATATAACAATTTTCACCAGATTTTAGAAGTTCAGGAGGGTCTTTGTTAATGCTTTCTGCTGCCCCCATGGGGATGACTTTTTCCAAGTCATTGGTTATCATACAGGCAGGCCATGATGGGAAAAAAATTAAAAAATCCCTGTCTTACCAACCCCACCAGCTACTTAGAGAATTAATCATTTCTTTGGTTGGTTGTTTAATCGAATAAAAATGCTTCTATATTCTAGCCAATTCATTATCCTTTTCGAAGAACATATCAGGAAACTGTTAGATTTTTCTGAAATCAAGGTGTACTGTATCTGTGATGTCATCCTAGTCTGTTAATCTAGTAATACTGGCAAGGAGAGTTATTCAGTCATTTATTTAATAAATACATGGTAAACATTTACTTATGTGAAGTACTGTGATAGGCATGTAGGATAGGATACACGTGGTAAACAAAACAGACATGGTCCATGTCTTCATGGAATTCACTGTATACAGGGGTAGACAGACACTAAGGAAAATAGCAAATAAATCATTTTAAATTGAGATGGGTACTATGAAGGAGAAGAACAGAATGCTGTTACAGGAAGATGAATGATCGGGGAAAGCCTCTCTCTGAGGAGGTGACATGGAAGCTGAGACCAGAAGGAGACAAAGGAGTCAGCCTTCTTGTAGAGAAAGGGAGAAATCTCTTAGGCTGAGAGGATACCTGCAAAAAGCCCAGAGGCAAGGAAGAGCTGACACTTTGGGAGACTGAAACACATCGTGCTGAACCCCTGTAGGCATCTGAGGATCACTGCTTTCTTTTCTCACTCATAAAACACTCTTTAGTAGATATTCTACAGTTTTACTGAGAATCAGTAATCTCAGTTTTTTGGTTTCCAGAATTCACTATCTAGAATTTCCCTGTTTGAAAATGTGGACATTTGCCATATTGTGAATTCCTCAGATTACCTGAAGGGAGTACAATTTCACTTACATAGTGTTTTTGATTTCGAAAACACCATGTATCCAGGCCTTGAACTCATTTAAAATGCTAAAATCCTATTACTATCTTAGCTAAACATTAATGAAGTTATAACAAAAAGAATTTTCCTAACTTATATTACCTCATTTCTTCGTGTTTTCTTCCAAGCTTTAGCTATTTATACACATTTATACATGGCTAAAATAATGTAATTATCATTTTTGCAGATGATAGCTTATTTACATAGATAATCTTGAAAATCAACTTTAAAATTATTACAAATAGTAACAATTTAGTAAAGTGATGTAGGGGGATGTAACATGCAGAAATAAATATCCTTTATAGATATATAAACATGTAAAAGATAAAACTGAAGAAAAGACCCAATAGCAACAAATCAGATAAAATGCCTAGGAATAACTAACAAGAATGTACAAGATCTGTATGAATGGAATTCTAAAATGCTACCAACATAAAAGAAATCTTGATCAAATGGAAAGTAATATGTTCTTGGATAGAACATATGTTGTCAATTTCCCAACACTGCCTATAAATTTAATGTCTAGATCAAAATATCAACAGGATTTTTAAAAAATCAAACAAATGTATTTAAATTCACATGGAAAAATAAGGAATAATTGAAAGGAAAATTCTGAAAAAGGTAAGTAATGAAGCCAACTCAACCAGATATAAACATATATGTAAATCTACAATAATTAAAACAATGGGTTAATACTCTGTGAGTAAACAAATTAATGGAATAGAATGGAAGGTCCAAGGACAGACCCAAATATGTGTGGAAATTTTGTATTGATAAAGATGTCACCTTAAATACCCTTCAAAATTAATTCCATATGCATTAATAGCTAATCATAGTTAATATAAAATACTAGAAACTAAAATATAAGGGTATGAAAAGGTTGAAAGTAAAAAAATGAGAAAAATATACTATGCAAACATAAACCAAAAGAAAATTATATAATAACAAATACAGTAGGCTTGAAGGCAAAAGCATTACTAGAAATAAAGGCATTTCATATCAGTAAGTCCAATTCACTGGGAAGTTATAAATTTGTATGCACTGAATAACAAAATATATAGAGCAACAGAGCTACAAGGGAAAGACAGACAAATTCACAATCAGGAGATTTATCATGCCACTCATTCACTGATAAAGAACTAATAGACAAAAACTTAGTATATAAAAATCTTAACATGAGGAGCAAACTTCATTCAACAAGCATATATAGTCACTATACCCCTAAACTGCAAATTACTGATTATTTTCAAGCACACTTGGAACATTTAAAAAACTGATCATATTGTGCTATAAAGCAAATTTCAACAAATTTCAAAGTATTGAAATTATACAAAGTGTGTTTCTTGCCCTCATTGCAGTTAAACTAGAAATAAGTAGCAATAAGGTAACTAGAAGTTAGAAATAAACTTCTAACCCACACCCCCAAAAAAATCACAGTGGGAGTAGAAATTAATTGGAACTGAATGGTAATAAAAATACAACATACCAAAATTTGGATATGGCTAAAGCTTTGCTTACAGAGAAATGTATAGTCTTAATTACACGTACTAGGAAAAAAGAAAAGCTGAAAGTTCTGAAGTTTTGCATCCATCTCAAAAACCTATATAAATCCAGAGAATGTAGAAGAAAGGAAATGTGTACGAAGAGATGTCTGGAAGGATATATATTTAAAGTGATAGTTTTTAATCTCTTTGGGTAGGATTTTGAATTTATTTTTCTGTATTGTTTAAATAAGCTGGAACAAGCAAAGCCACTTTCAGTTTAAGAGAAAAAGTACTCTAGGGAAATGGGATAATTTTTTAAAAAATAATATAGACTTTTGTGATGTCTCAGCACCAGAAATTATAAGCAAAAAAACTGATAACTTCATTTATGAAAATTTTCTACATGGTTAAAAAATACCATAAATAAAAGCAAAGACAGATGACAAACTGGGAAAAATATTTACAACTCATCACAAATGGCTAATCTCTTTAATATAAAAAAAAAAAACTCATGCAAATCAATAAGAAAAAATGGATGATAATCAAAAAGGAGCAAAGGATATAGGAACTTACAAAAAAAGAAATACAAATGGGTACTAAACCTATGAAAATATATTCAGCCTTACTTATAATAAGAGAAATGGACATTAAAATTGTCTTGCGATTCCATTTCAATCATGAAATTGGCAAAAAAAAAATTTAAAAAACCCCAACTCTGTTGTTAATATTGATTTGTTTTGGGGGAAAGCTTGTCATTTCATATATCACCAATAGGAATAAAAATTGATTTAGTCTTTATAGAGGGCAATTTGGCAATATTTAACAAAATTTAAAATGCACAAATCTTTTGTGGCAACAGTTCCATATCTAAGTATTTATTATACATGTGCAAAATGATGAGTAGACAAGACTATAAACTGCAACATTGTAGTAGCAAAAGACTGAACACAATCTAAACATACATCCATGAGGGTCTTGTTGAATAAATCATGGTAGATCCATACAATGGTGTACATCTACTAAAGAAGAAAGGAGGGGAGAGGAGAAGAATGAGGTAGTTTTATATACATTAATTTGGAACAGCCTCCAAGATATGTTATCCAGTGAAAAAAGCAATGCACAGAAATGTGTATAGTATGCTGTGATGTGCATAAAAAGTTTTAAAAGAATGCACGTGTGTGTACATATTGGTAAGTGCATACAATATATCTGAAAGGATATATAAAAAACTAGCTGGAGGGAAGGAACCCCTGGGGAAGGGTACTAAATAGCCAAGGAATGGGATAAGAAACTTGTGTTTCATTCTATATCCTCTTGTACATTTTGAATTTTGAGCAGATACGTGCATTATCTATTTAAGAGTGAATATTTTAAAACCATGTGTGTGTAAAATTTTGCAGTCTGATTTTATGCTTATTTTATAAATATTTGTATATAGCATATTGCATATAATTAATATAACATTAATGGTTTCTAGGAGCTCTCTTCCCCCTTCTGTTACAAATAATGATCTGGATATTTGCTGTCATTAATTACCGTATTCCCTAATGCCTTCCAGCCTTATGTATGCTCTTCTGTCTGCCTAGAATACCGTACTTACCTTGCTCTCTCCTTGCCTGCACATTCAGTGTATTCCTCCTAAGAGGTCCAGTTCAAATACTACTAGCTTTACCTTATTCTCTCAGGCATACTTATTCAGGCAGTACTTTGTATACTTCCAGAATAAAGATTTCTTATTTTATGGTAATTGATTACATATTAGTTTCTCCTCCCCAAAGACTACATCTTTTCATCTTTGTTAACAAAATCCTCTGGCACCCCCAACCCTTGCCAAGATCTTACTAGCTAGTAGAGAACAGTTAAACTCAAAGTCCATAGTTCCAAAGTCCCTGGGAGTGATACCAGAGGGTCCTGTGCACAATTCAGCCCATTCCAGGGAGGGTTTGGTTGTCTCATTTGTGTTCCTGCAGCTCTACTGCTTGGTTCAGAACCATCAGTCTTTGTGTTTTCAGAAACATGGGTTCATTATTGATAGCTATATGCCCTTTTAGGGTCTTGACTAGCCCCGTGCTACCACTTCCAACCCCCCAGATCCATGCTGCTGATTTCACATTGGCCTAGAAATGATAGAAAGGCTTATCAGTTGGTTAAGGATGTGATCTAGAGTCAGACTGTGCCTGAGAGTGAATTCCAGTTCTACAAGTTAGTGTCTGTATGTGTTTCTTTCATTGAACTTGACTATTCCTCATTTCTTCAAATGTAAATGAGGATAACGGAAGTCATTATCTTAAGGTTGTTGCCAGAATTAAAGGAGCTAATTTTGCAAAATGTTTAGGACAGTACCTAGCACATAGTAAGCACTGTCTAAAAGTTAGGGGGTTTTTTTGTTTTTTTTGTTTGTTTGTTTTTTATCATTCTCTTTACCAAGTTCTCTAAGTGTGGACCCAATTCCCCACAGCATAACAGAGACCAAGTTATAACTTATAAGAATTCTTTGCTGAAGTGTCCAGAATAATTAAAGGAAGTAACAAAAGAGAAAAATTTCTAAAACCCATCTACACTGATCCTCTAAAGGGTGGCTCCCTCCCTGTAGTAGAGCCAGCATTTCCCTCACCATTCTGAGTTATCTTCCAGAATATCAGAGTCCAGATTAACCCCTTAAAGACCAGAGGGAGAAAAAGTCTAAATTCCTTCCCTAATTCAAGATTTCTCCTTTTGTCCCAGGAGCTACCTTTCCCCATGGTGATCAACAGTGGGATTTTCAACCATTTTCAGGTGCTCCCTGTGTACCCAACAGTACTATCCCATTAAAACAATGGTCTGATATCAGTGCATTCCTCAGAACTGAGTTTTCCAATCAGTTCTGTCCAATTCCTTTTTATAGCTGTTCTAGGACAATTTCCATGAGGGCAAGGACTCTGCCTGCCTTGTGCTTGAATGTAGTAGGAACTCCATAAATATTTGCATATGAATGAGCTCTTCCTTTGAAAAAAGATGAAGTTCCAACCTATACACTCTTCTTTCAGTCTTCTCAATCTCTTGTGAGAATTACTTAAAGCAAGAATAAGCTAAGGTCATAATTTAAAAAGAAAGAAGAATCTCTAAAAGAAATATTCAGAGATACAACTATACTTATGAGACAGCCCAATGTCTAAAGAAGAGACAGCCTTTTGTATTACCATGCACATTATGAGCTCTGCTTTATAAAGTGCTCTAGTAAGGTGATGGGGGTGGGGCAGTAAGATGCAGATTTAAGAAGACAGCTTTTCTGATGCTTAACTTACCTATCAAGATATTCCTTGATTTTGAAAATATTCATTGAGCATTTACTTTGTGTCAGGCATTATGGTATTTGGTTTTAGAGACACAGCAATAAACAAGATTGACATGCAGTCCATATTGTGAGCTTCCAGTCTTTCAAAACAATTAAAGGTTACAACAGGGGAAGTATTCTAAAGCTAGAGGTCTTCTGCCTGCCCTTGAACAAGAGTAGATCTGCATTGGTCATTTTTGTATTTTGAAATTCCAAGAGAGTGTCTGCTTGTTAACCTGGGTCTAGTATTTTAAAAGTTTGAAAATTAATGGCATATATTTGATATGAATTTCATCCTGAAAGTCTATTATGTGAATGAATGAAGACACATTGCACATATAGTTACAGTCACCCTATAAGCATTACTATCCTCCTTTTATAGGTGAGAAAATGCAGTTCCCAGAGTTAAAGTAACTCTTCAAAGTCTTTTCCCTCCAATTTTATTGAGGAATAATTAACAAATACACTTGTATATAATTAAATTATTTGATATACATGTATATCATATACCTGTGATGATTTTATATACATATACATTGTGGAATGATTACCAAGATCAATATAATTAACAGATCTGTCACCTCACATAGTTAACGTGTGTGTGTATGTACGTATGTGTGTGTGTGCTGAGAATGCTTAATATATACTCTCAGCAACTTTCAAACATACAATATCATTTTAGTAACTATAGTCATGATGTACATTAGATCCTCAGAATTTTTTCTTTTTATAACTGAAAGTTTATATCCTTTAACCTATATTGACCCATTTGTCTCTCTCTCCCCATCTCCAAAGTCTTATGCCAACTAAATTGCAAGCCTCATTCCAAATCTCTGCATCTGCCATCTCACAGTGCCCACACCCAAAAGGGAATAAACCTTTACTTCTCAAGGAGAGAGAGCTCTAGTGAGATATTACAGAGCTTTGCCTTAGTCTTATCCAATATTTTAAAGAAAGAAAGAAAAGACAAAGCTCACATCATCATCTCAGTGATTAAAGAAAAAGTATTTGGGAAAAAAAATCCACATCCATTCTTGATTAAAAAATCTTTAACACTAGAAAGAGAAAGGAACTTCTGTAGCCTGATAAAGGGCATTCACGAAAAGCCTACAGCTAATATTACACTTCAGAAAGACAATGCTTTTCCTCCTAAAATCAGAACAAGACAAGGATGTCTGCTCTCAACATTGTAATGGAGGTTTCAGCCATTAGAAATTAAATTTTGTAGATAAGACTATAGAATTTGATGGTTAATGGGCTCTGATCCAAAGTTACTGACACTGGTTGAAACTATGAACATTGTAAACAAGACACTTAAATTAAGGCTAAAAATAATGCTCTTGGGTTTAAAAGCCAACTTAGGAAGCTACAACATTCTGCAAAGGATTACTGAGTACCTACTGTGTGTCGTGCACAAGAGTCAGAGACGTGACTTCTTCCTAGAGAAGTTAATTCCAGATGCAAAAATGTCTAGGCTAGAGTAAGGCAACTCATCTTGTGACTTCTGAACTCCTTTGACATTTGTTAAAAATTGTTTAATTCTATTGTATTAACTCTAAACAGCCAAGACTGTATATTATACTTTGATTCTCCACGGTTTCCAATCATTACCAGGAGCTCAATACCCTCCTGTTGGATGACTGCATGCCTCCCTGCACACCCCCCGGCCCCCCGCTACCTCACCCGGACTACATGGAAGTTAAGAAAGCTTATTCCAAGCGTTAACGTGTGAATCTCGCGTTTTAAGAAAACAGTGCCTAGAACAGCCTGAAATCCTAACAACTCTAAGTTTGGGAAAGTGGCCGGAAGGGTTTTCTGAGATTACGTTTCTGAGCATGAACGGAAGTCACTCTTTAAGCAATTTGCCGTTTAATATTAGGTGCCATACTCAGAACAGAGTAATCCGTTTCCTTTCTGTTCCTCTCTTTGTACCCACAAGCTGGTGACCAGGTGACAAATTTGTCTTCGTTATTAGAAAATAAAGATCGCATTCTAGGAAGCCTTAAGGTAGCCCAATATCCTCTTCCCATAGTAAAGATGGAGGCACTCTGAATGTAAACTACAGGTAATACCACTTCCGCGTTTCTCTTGCGCCCTGGACCAAGATGGCGGACGAGGCCACCCGGCGTGTTGTGTCTGAGATCCCGGTGCTGAAGACTAACGCCGGACCTCGAGATCGAGAGTTGTGGGTGCAGCGACTCAAGGAGGAGTATCAGTCTCTTATCCGGGTCAGTAGTGCTTCTGCTGCGGACCGCATCGCAAAAGGGTTGCGGGCAACCAGGTGTCCTTACGAATCGGTTCCGTGTGGAAGCCGCTTCCGGTTTTAAAGTTCAACTTCCAAATTCATAGACATTAGACGACTGCGGGGCTGAGGGGCTTCGGGAGGCGCGGAGGGGAGGAGGTAGAAGAGACTCAGGTTAGAAACCACGGTGGAACCAGACTTTCTGGCTAAAAACAGTTATTTTAGGGATAGGCTGCCCTGGAAGATGACGTGTTCTTCTGGCCCCAGATGTTTGCTCTCCTGGATGTAGGGGAGGTGGTCAAAAGGAATTCCTGATGCTCTAAGTCCTGGGCCGCTTCTCTCTGCTACCTCCTTTACTTGTCCTGAGGAAGGAATACACGTTAAAGCTAAAACCTCAAGCAGGTATTAGTTGCAGAGAGATGAGGAGCTGAGCTCGTAGTTAGGAATGAGCCATATTCTCAGCTAGTCTCCCTTCTGTGGAAGAAGAAAGTTTGACTTTCTTGCGGTGGTCTCTGTTTCAAAGACCAGCAGCTTTCCTGGTGCATGTATTCATTTTCATTAATATATATATATATATATATATATATATATATATATATATATATATATATATATATAGTACATCTAGTACCACTTGGGAAGGCCAAATAAATTGGAGCCAACCGAGGTAGATAGAAACAGATCATTATAATACCTTACAAGGTGAAAGAGGGAAAGGGAGTCTGAGAAATTGCTAGAATGTTTGAAGCAGGAGGTGAGATACCTAATCCAGCTTGAGTCTGGTCAGGAAAGTCTTCCTAGAAGAGGCAATGCTTGAGCTGATACTTACACGTAGGTTAGCCTGATAAAACATGAGGCTAAGAGAAGAACATTTAAGACAAAAGAAACGGCATAAGCAAAGGCACAGAAGCTAGAAACACCATGATGTGTGAAGAAACACAAGTAGTTCAGAGTTGTTAGAACATCAAATGTGTGGCAGGGCGTGGTAGGTAAGACTTGAGGAATAGGTTTGAGCACTTGAATTTTATCTTGGAGGCTTTGGGATACCTTTAAAGGATTTTAAGTGGAGGAGTAACATGGTAAGATTTGAGTTTAGATCAGTTACAGTGGAAGTAGGGAGGAAAATAGAATTGACAGGGATAAGACTAAAGTTAGGGGGCTGTCATTAATCCAGGCAAAAGATACTTCTCTGGCAAGGGAGATACCATGATCACAAAGGTGGTTTTCCCAGGATGAGGCTTATCTATTGCACTCTGGATGTGCTGACCCCTGTGATTTCCTCAAATTAAAAAAAAAAAAACAAGCCAAAGAAAGATGATGATCTAAACTCAGTAGTTATAGTGAAGTTAGAGAGAAGAGGTAGGTTTGAAGAATATTCAGAATATCAGCAGGACATCATAAAGGACTGGTTTGTAGAGTAAAGGAGAGGGAGGGTCAAGGGTGACTCCCAGGTTTTTGGCTTGGTTTTTGACTGAATGCTAATACTGCCACCTGAGATTGATACAGTGGAGAAACAGATCTGAAAGACTAGGGGGAAATGCTGAATTTCAGGTACCTGTGAAATGGAATTAGAAATTCCAGTAAACAGATGAATAATGGAGTTTGAAGCTCTGAGAAAAGGTCTGGATTAAAGATAAAGATTGGAAGTCATCAGCATACCGGTGCTAGTCAAAACCCGGACTATATGAGGTCCTCCAGCGAAGGAATATACCATAAAATGAGTTGTGGGATGAGGGCAGACGCTATCAGAAGTGAGAAGAGGACCTAGAAAATATCAAGTGTTTTGTGCCAGCTAAATTGAGTGGAACCCAAGCATTCTGTTCTCTGCTCAGGATAAGTCCCCTACTTACCATGTAGATTTGTCTTCAGCTTTACTTATGCCAGAAAAGTTGGGAAAACATACTAAGAGAGGAAGTAAACACACACTTTTCTTTTGAGGGAGTGGGGACTGCCCTTGGTCCCAACTCCCCCCTCAAAGACCTTATTCTCTGCTTTTAGTATGTGGAGAACAACAAGAATGCGGACAATGATTGGTTCCGACTGGAGTCCAACAAGGAAGGGACTCGGTAGGCAGACCCTCTTGGGAGGTGTGGGGGTGGGGATCTTACATCGTTTGAGCATTTTGATGTCCTAAAGCACATTGCCAGGCCTTCCCTTTCCCTTTCTGGTCTCCACTGTCACAGTTCCAGAGTTCCCCAATTCGCACCCCATGAGGCTCCCAGGCTGGTCACCTAAACCAAGAAAGTGTCATTTGAGTATTAGAAGAATGTGAAGATTGGACTGAGGTTTGGTCTTTGTTACAGGTGGTTTGGAAAATGCTGGTACATCCATGACCTCCTCAAATATGAGTTTGACATCGAGTTTGACGTGAGTATGATGGAGTAGGGAATATGAAGGTTAGTAGAACAGGAGGGATTAGGTAATTATTCACAAGCTAACCTCTTTGAGGGACCAAAGAAAACTTTTTAAATGGGAGGGAAAGGCTGAAGTTTGAAGCAAGTGTAGGTTATAGTTACTCTTCTCCATGTCCAGAATCCTGGTATGTACATGCTGCTTGGGAAGTTCGCAGAGCATTTCATTTAAGAAATGTGTATGTCTGATTAGATTGGTTCATTTCTATCTTGATTCTGTTTCATTAAGGCTTTATAATTTTTCCAGATTCCTATCACATATCCCACTACTGCTCCAGAAATTGCAGTCCCTGAACTGGATGGAAAAACAGCAAAGATGTACAGGTAGGACTGAAGAGGAGATGGGAAAAGGTCAAAGAAGGCCTTGGAGAAGAACTCTGGAAGGCAGGAATTTTCCCAGAGTCTGTTGGCCTAGAGCTGCTCCAGGTCTTCTGCCAACCCTGGGCAAAAGCACTTAGCTGAACTTGTTCTCAGTTCTGATCACTGGTTGTCTTCCTGTGCTCCCAAGAACCTGCTATGCTTTACAGCATACCTTGCATGTCAACACCTTCTTCATCTTGTCCCTCTTACAGGGGTGGCAAAATATGCCTGACCGATCATTTTAAGCCTTTGTGGGCCAGGAACGTGCCCAAGTTTGGACTAGCTCATCTCATGGCTCTAGGGGTAAGTCTGGAATACAGAGGAGGAGGGGGAAGTGGTTAGGTCCTAAGCAGTGTAATAAAAGTAACTGAGAGTACAAGGAATAACTGTTCTCCTTTGGGCATGTTCTCCTAGAATATCTCTAAGAAGGAGCTTCTGTGGAATAAGAGGTATTGATTGGGTGGTAGTAATCTCACAGGGTCTCCCTTCTGTTGCAGCTGGGTCCTTGGCTGGCAGTGGAAATCCCCGATCTGATTCAGAAAGGAGTGATTCAGCATAAAGAGAAATGCAACTAATGAAGGATGGAGCCACTGAGGCAGGACAGAGGGACCTTTGATAGACTACGTTCCTATTTTCCTGTGCATCACTCTTCTTACTCACCTATCTGCTTACCCCCACACCCCTTCAGCCATAATTGTAGCTGCAACAGACACTGCTGAAAAAAACAACAGTACTGCTACTGAATTTCTGAGTTGGGCTACACAGGGAGGGGAAAGACTAGGGCCTTGAAAAACAGTTTATATCCCTTCTCCAGGTGGAACAGTGTAAGGTGCTGGAGGGATGGGGGTGACTGAAAGTGGATACATAGTCTTTTTAGTTTCTGGAGATAACTCATCAATAAAAGCTGATTCCTCAGTGGCTTGTGGTTCTCATTGGTGTCAGTTAATAGAGGGTGAGCAGGCTAACGGTCAGCAGGCTGAGACCCAAGGCACCTGTACAATTACACTAGTTCTGGAAGGAGAGGGAATTGGAGGATGCTCTGGTCTGGAATTGGGGAATGAAAGGAAATCTTGACTGCTCTCTCTGCTGTTGAGTTCTGCTCTTGTCCTTTAGCAGGGAGCCTACTGCTTTGGCCTGCAAGATGCCTGAGGAATGGGTTTGCAGGGCTAACATTCTTTGCCCACCAGGGATCTTTCCAACCCTATGTGGATACTTCACTGGTCTGTGGGCTGGATCCAGGCCCTGCAGCTTCCCACATTCACACCCCTGCTCCCTGGGAATGATATGTACTGGAAGTCGGAGGGCCATACCATGATTGTCATATCTACATCCCTAAAGGCCACAGGATGGAGCGATGGTATTCTGTACTTTAGGGACTTGCTTTGGAGCGATGATTTAAAGACAATCCTGGGCAGACCAGGGAACTGGCGGCCCTAAAGTTGGCTGTGTTTCCATGGTGTCGGCGGCGGAGCCGAGGGGGCGGGTTCACGCAAGCGCCATGAAAGCGGGTGGGTGGACTCCGAGTGTGGGTGCGCAGGCGCTGTGAGAGACAGTGAAGCCGGTGGCCGGTGGCCGGGCGGGACCAACAAAGATGGCGGCGGCCCCTGCGGCGGGAGAGATCTGGGCGACAGCTGCTGCTAAAGCTGCAGCCGGGCCTGCAGGGGGGCTGCACGAGGGTAGGAGGGGGTGGCCCTGAGCTGGCGCCTGGCCCCGGCTGGCCTCCCCCACCGCCTCACCGGGGGACAGGTACGGTCCGGGGCGTTATGGCGTTGTGGGGGGGATGCCGAGGGAGGACTGCTCCAGACCCGAGAGATCGCCCTCCACCAAGGCAGAGCCGCGGGGAGCCCAGCAGGCCTGGGAGAACTGGGCTGGAGCGACAGCATCCATGGATCGCGGAGAACACGCCGCCGGACTCCGTAGCCAATCAGCGGCCTCGGCCTTTCTGCCCTCGAGGGGGGCGGACCCGGTTAAGCCTGCTGTGGTGGGAGAGGTGCAGAGATTAGGGGTCAGGGAATTGTTTGTCGTCCCTGCCGGCCTCTGCCCCTGATCCCCCACACCACTTTGGAGCTCAGAGGTGGGGGAGGGAGTGATTCGCAAGTCACCCTTTCAGTCGGCTTCATTTGCAGCCCGGAGGGGCAGGGGTTTGAGTATTGAATGCTGTCTTATGGACTGTTAGACTTGCATCCACACCCTCATTTGACCAGAGGTCCTAGGTCACCCAGGGCACATCCCACTTGACTAGCAGGTTTGGGGGACCTTCATGAGCATTTAGATTATAAAGACAGCCAAGATAGAGACTACTATTGGCTCTCCAGTAAAGCTGTGTTCTGAAGGAAGAGGGTGAGGAATGTAGAAAGAGGCAAAGCCCTGGGCTGCTATCATTCATTAATTCATTTATTTAATGGATACTAAGTATTTACTTTGTGCCAAACACTATGCTGGGTACTGGGGATACAGTGACTAACATCATAGACATGGTTCCTGCCCTCCATACGTGTAGAAACTAGTATGGTAGCGTATGTTCTCATCTCCTTCCATATTCAAATACTGACCCTCTCTTCTCCTCCCAGGTCCAGTCTGTGGTGTCCACAATGCCCCAGGCTTCTGAGCACCGCTTGGGACGGACCCGAGAGCCACCTCTTAATGTCCAGCCCAGAGTGGGATCCAAGCTACCATTTGCTTCTCGGGCCCGGAGCAAGGAGCGCCGAAGCCCAGCCCCTGGGCCGAACCCTATGTTACGACCTCTGCCTCCCAGGCCAGGTCCCCCTGAGGAACGGCTCAAGAAACTGGAGCTGGGACGGGGACGGACCTCAGGCCCCCGTCCCAGAGGCCCGCTTCGGGCAGATCATGGAGTTCCCCTGCCTGGCTCACCACCCCCAACTGTGGCTCTGCCTTTCCCATCCAGGACCAACCTAGCTCGTTCCAAGTCTGTGAGCAGTGGAGACTTGCGTCCAATGGGGATTGCCTTGGGAGGGCATCGTGGCACTGGAGAGCTAGGGGCTGCACTGAGCCGCTTGGCTCTACGGCCTGAGCCACCCCCTTTGAGACGTAGCACCTCTCTCCGCCGCCTTGGGGGCTTTCCTGGGCCCCCCACCTTGCTCAGCATACGGACGGAGCCCCCTACTTCCCATGGCCCTTTCCACGTGATATCTGCCCGGCCCTCTGAGCCTTTCTACTCCAATGACAAGATGGTGAGGACTTGCCAGCACATATGGTCTTCCATGCCCGTGTTCTTCCATGCCTCCAGCTTTCTTGCCATCATATGGCTTTCCTTTCCCCCTTTTCCCCAAGTTCTTTTTCAACCCCTCATTACAGCAGTTTGGACTTTCCTCTCCCTTACTTAAGTACCCTTGAGCCTCATAGGCCCTTTTCGGGGGTTGTCTGTGACTACCCAGCATGATGTGCCATTTCAGTCCCCTGGGAATTAACTCAACCATTTGGAATTCTTCTTTGGGTCCCCAGGCCCTTACTTTCCCTTGCTGTACCTTCTCTCCTGGGATGTGGCCTAGGCCTAATTAATCTCTGGAGCCCAAGAGGGGCGGGCTCAGAACATCTGAGCTAGTGTGGTTGCCCATTTCCCAAGCTAAGTAAGCTAGGCTGATTGCAGTTGGAGCCATCAGGAGAGGGTGCAAGAAGTGGCCACGGGTGCAGGAGGGGGTCTTGGGGGTAGCAAGGTTGGGGTGGGGAGCAACTGGGCAACCATGCCAGTGCTTGGGGAGTTGCCCCAGGAGCTGTATCGCCGGCTAGCTGGGCAAAGGAGTAAGTGGGCAACAGGTGGGACAGCCATGGCTGAGTCCGTGGTACACTCAGCTGTGATGGGCTTACTGCTCATGGCCAGTGAGGTAGGGAGACCCCAATACCCAGTGAGGGAGAGTGTGGAGTTTGGGGATGAAGGCTGGGGTTGGGGAGGCAGTGGGCAGCATGCTGTCGAAAGGTTAAAGTGCCGGGTGGGATATATGGGAACCTGCTGACTGTACTCTGACCTTCCAGGCTCATCACACACTGCTTCTGGGCTCCGGTCATGTTGGCCTCCGAAATCTGGGGAACACGGTAAGAGCCATTCTTCTGTCTTTTGTAACAGGAATGTGAAATGGTGCTGGGGCAGGCGTGGGGAAGGAAACTTAGGGAAGGCATGGGAAAGGAGAGCTTAAGGAGTTCTCCTAATTCTTCCTGGGCACTGGTCTGGAGAGATAATGACAGTGTCTCTGCTGCTCTCCAGTGCTTCCTGAATGCTGTGCTGCAGTGTTTGAGCAGCACTCGGCCTCTTCGGGACTTCTGTCTGAGAAGGGACTTCCGGCAAGAGGTGCCTGGAGGAGGCCGAGCCCAAGAGCTCACTGAAGGTGGGGCAACAACTCCTGCTCCCTCCTTTCAAGCCTTCTTTACCCCAGCCCTTTGTACGTCCACCTGCCAGTGCTGGTGGCCCCAATCCTGAAAGCTGTCAATTGTATCTGTTTTTCCCAGTGCCTCCTTTCCTAGAGGTTGTTTTCGATTCTCTGAGCCTCCTCTTGCTTTCTTCTTCCAGTCATTAACCTTTCTTTCCCTTCCCCATTCCCACCCCGATAGCCTTTGCAGATGTGATTGGTGCCCTGTGGCACCCTGACTCCTGCGAAGCTGTGAATCCTACTCGGTTCCGAGCTGTCTTCCAGAAATACGTTCCCTCCTTCTCTGGATACAGGTGGGAGAGCTTGGGGTGTGGGATTTCTCTCTGGCCATGTTTTGGGGTAGGGCGACCAGGGCCCCTGGCAGCAACATTCTGAGCCTTGAGATGATCTTCATCTAGGAAGCGGGGACTGATGCCTGGGCAGGAGTTAGTGTCTGTGGTCAGATCTAGGTAGAGGTCAGTTGCCCACACTCGTCGTCTGACTGCAGCCAGCAGGATGCGCAAGAGTTTCTGAAGCTCCTCATGGAGCGGCTACATCTTGAAATCAACCGACGAGGCCGCCGGGCTCCACCAATCCTGGCCAGTGGTCCAGCTCCCTCTCCACCCCGCCGCGGAGGGGCTCTGCTAGAAGAACCTGAGTTAAGGTAAGATTGCTCCCCCTTCTTTTTCTCCCCAGTAGTTTATCAGCACCATTCATCCTTCACAGAACTGAGCTAGTCAAGATTGAAGATGTAGGGTCCAGGGAAATGCTTAGCTTAGAAAATGGTTTGAGAAGCAGTGCAGAAGTAGGAAGAGGCAGGAGGAGGAGGGAGGCTGAGGGGTACAGATGGAGACAGAGGAGAATGCTAGGGATGTTACCATCTTGTCGGAGGAGGATATAATTTCCATCAAGGTACCTAAGGGGTTTGAACCAGATGGAGGAAGACAGCATGTTCTTCCTTTGACTCTTTCTTGAAATTTAGAGAAGGAGCTGGGATATGGGTGGGGTACAGGGCTCTATGGATCACTTCAGTGGTGTTGGGGGTGCCCAGTGTTCCTAGTATCTCATGGGTGCTCCCCACTTCCCTTGATCTGTGGTAGCGATGATGACCGAGCCAACTTAATGTGGAAGCGTTACCTGGAGCGAGAGGACAGCAAGATTGTGGGTATGGAACGGGACAAAGTGATGGGGGGATATTAGGGCATGGGGGGCGGGGTGCAGGCTTCACAGAAAAAAATAAGTATTTTCAGGGGTATGTAAATAAGACTGGATGATGAAAATGTGGAAAAGGTGTGAGGGGGTTGGGAGGAACGGTGGTGGTTGGAAAGGAAGGGTCAGGCAAAGAAAGGGGTGGGAAGAGACAGGAATCCAAGGGAGCATCTCAGGCATCCCACAATGACTGTTTCTCCTGCCCCTTTGCTTTTATCTAGACCTGTTTGTGGGCCAGTTGAAAAGTTGTCTCAAGTGCCAGGCCTGTGGGTATCGCTCCACGACCTTCGAGGTTTTTTGTGACCTGTCCCTGCCCATCCCCAAGGTGGGATTCCAGAGGATTCCAGGGGTGGATGGGACATGGGTTCTGTGACCCACCCTACCCACCCCCAGTGTGGGAGGGAATCCTGTGGGTCTCTGGAGCAGAGTTGAAGCCTGGATTAATTGAGAAGAGTTGGAAAAGGAAATTCAGAACATGCTGACCCTTCATTCCCCTTTCCCCCCAGAAAGGATTTGCTGGGGGCAAGGTGTCTCTGCGGGATTGTTTCAACCTTTTCACCAAGGAAGAAGAGCTAGAATCGGAGAATGCCCCAGTATGTGGGGGTTCATAAGGGATATAGTAAGGGTGGGAGACCTGGGGAGGGGGCTCCATATGGATAAAAGGGGTTGCATGATGCCTTAGTATGAGGAAAAACACTTAAGTCTCAGGGTTTGTGTTGGAATTCCAGATATATCTTACTACTCCTAGGGCAAAGGGCAGAAAGGCAGAGGATACAGAAGTAATAGCATAGTAAATTTATATGTAAGTCAGGGTGTCAGAAAAGCCAGTTGAGGTGAGGATCACATTAACCTTATTGCGTGTTATTTGACATTTATTCAGGTGTGTGACCGATGTCGGCAGAAAACACGAAGTACCAAAAAGTTGACAGTACAGAGATTCCCCCGAATCCTCGTGCTCCGTATCCTAATCTTCAAATTTTTGTTTCTCCCATCCATTCTTTTTCCTCATTCTCCATATTTGCACAGGCTGGACATTTGAGAATTGTTTTCCTTAGGAAAAGCCTGCCAGTCAACCTTTCCCTACCATGCTCCCAGTGTGTGTTCAGGGACGGGAGTGGACAACATTCAAGACCTCTGTCGCCCTCAGAGGCCCTCTACCTCCCAAATTCTCCTTAACCAGAGCTTAGATCTTAATCGATTTTCTGCCTCCCGAGGCTCCATCAAGAAAAGTTCAGTAGGTGTAGACTTTCCACTGCAGCGACTGAGCCTAGGGGACTTTGCCAGTGACAAAGTCGGTGAGTCTGGTAGGGAAGGTCCTAAGGAGTCTCATGAAGGGAAGGGAGAGAGTGGGAGCGGGGAACAGCTCTGACTGTAGAATTTGGTCATCTCTAACCCCACAGGAAGCCCCATATATCAACTGTATGCCCTTTGCAACCACTCGGGCAGCGTCCACTATGGCCACTACACAGCCCTATGCCGGTGCCAGACTGGCTGGCATGTCTACAATGACTCTCGGTGAGAGCAGCCTCCTATCCAACTCCTGCCCCATTTCTGCTGCAGCCCTGACACCCTTCCGTAATATGAAGCCCTAGGAGAACAGAGTGCCTTGTAAAAGGAGAGGGGGGTCTTTCTTGATCACTACCTGGATGCTGGGAGGTTGATCTTGGTGGGTAGGGGGTAATATACAGGAATGATCACACCGCTTTCCCCATCTCCCTTCTTCCTAGTGTCTCCCCTGTCAGTGAAAACCAGGTGGCATCCAGTGAGGGCTACGTGCTGTTCTACCAACTGATGCAGGAGCCACCCCGGTGCCTGTGACACCTTCTTTAAGCCCTGGCACCTGTGAAACCCTTTCAACACCCTTAAGCCCCAGGCTCCCCGTTTACCTCAGAGACGTCTATTTTTGTGTCTTTTTAATCGGGGAGGGGGGAGGGGGTGGTGGTACCTCCCATTATTTTTTTTATTAAGAAGTATCCTTCCACCTGGAGGCTCCCTTGTCTCCCAGCCCCATGTACAGAGCTCCCCAGGCCCCTGCCTGTGTACAGCCCCCAGACCCTCTACAATCTCACTTTTTGTGAATAAATTTATTAAGAAAAAGATACTGTTATTTGTATTTGTGCATAGGGGGTGGGGATACAGAACTGGGCCGAATTGGAGTCTTCCTGGGACTCAGTTTCCTCTCTGAACAGATGGGGCGCCGCTCAGCCTTGTGGGTGGGATTGGGGACGACGGTGCCCGACAGGGACACGCTGATGCCAACGTTTGCCCAAGCAGCTAAGGCTTACGTGGGAGGAAACGGGAAGGCAAGCTTGAGACTCGTGAAGCTGCGGGGAAGCCTGGAACTAGAGTGCAGGCACTGGGTCGACGGGTTTTGCCGGCAAAGGGGGGCTGCCCCTCGAGAGCGAGGCACCCAAGGACCCCTGTTGACAAACACAGTACGTTGCCGGGCGGCCCTAGCTCCCGTAGGCCCAGGCTGTTGCTAACATCAAGGAGCTGTTTATGGAGCTGCCTCCCCACAGACCAGCCTCGAGTGTCCCTATCTACTCTCCCTACAACGAAAGCTCATGGGGCCCTTCCTCCAGGGTTCTCACCCTAACTGGGCTTGAGAAGCTTGAGCTGGGGAATGCAAACCAGGATCTAGCTCTCGTCACTCCAGCCCTGAGGGGAGGGCAGTGCTGGATATGGCCACTCTCTCCAAACCGGCACCGAACCAGTTACCTCCAGCGCCGCAGAGCCGCTATCTCTCCGCCTTTGCGGGAGGAGGAGCCACTATCAGTTCAGTATTTTCACTGGTGGATGTGATCCGGGACCTTCTAGGACTCACCAATCCAGAAGCAGAAAAAGTAGGTTCTGGAACTTGCCGCGAGAATAAAGTGGACGGGGAGTCAGAGAGACCGAAAAGGTTGGGGGCGGAGGCAGCGAACTGAAAACGTTAGGCCTAGTGAGGGGTGGGAGGGAGAGCGCTTCCGAACTCAGGCAGCCAGTCGGCGCCCCGAACCCTGCGCGGGAAGATAGCATGGGTGTGGTCCTTATCCCCCTCCCCGCGGAACGCCGGCTGGGTTTGTCTTGAGACCTGTACCTCTTCTTTCCCCCTCATTTTTCTCGCCTCTCTCTTTGGGTAAGTCCTGGGCCCTGAACAGGGAGCTCACAGTTCCACCAGCCCATCCGCTGGCTCTGCCTTAGTTTTCCCTAAAGCAGTGAATGGCGGGGGTGGAACGCGGAACTGGCCAGGCTTTGGGAGAACAAGGGGATTCCGGTCAGCCTGTCCGTATCGCCTCCTTTCCCCCAGGCTTCCCAATGGGTCGGACCGTGGTCGTCCTGGGCGGAGGCATTAGCGGCTTGGCCGCCAGTTACCACCTGAGCCGGGCCTCCTGTCCGCCCAAGGTGAGTGCCCCAACCCGCCATGCCTGAGGGACCCTCCTTTAATACTCTGCTCCCATTTCCAGCAAGAAGGAATGCGCCCCCTCCTTCCCGTCCACACCCTTTAACCCGCGGCTATAGGCCGTGCTGCTGTCTCCCTCTTGTCCGCAGGTGGTCTTGGTGGAGGGCAGCAAGCGCCTAGGAGGCTGGATTCGCTCAGTAAGAGGACCAGATGGTGCTATCTTTGAACTTGGACCTCGAGGAATTCGGCCTGCAGGAGCCCTGGGAGCCCGGACCCTGCTCATGGTGAGCGGCTTGTGGAATGCCTAGGAGAGGTTGAGGAGAGGCCTTCGCTAGAAGATAGAGGTGATGGGAGGAAGTAGATTTGGTGGTCAGTCCTTTCCTTAGTTTCTCCTCTTCTTGAGGACATGTGGAGAGCAGGTTTCTGAGCTTGGCTTGGACTCACAAGTGTTACCTGTCCGGGGAGACCATCCAGCTGCCCAGAACAGGTTCCTGTATGTAGGTGGTGCCCTGCACGCCCTGCCCTCTGGCATCAGGTAACCGTATCACCTCCTTACTGCTGTCCTACTTTGTTTCATCATCACATCCCTTCCATTTCCTCATCACCCAGTCTGTTAGCCCTCCCAGCAAAGGGGGCCAAATAAATGGAAATGACCCCTGGAGCTGGGGAGGTAAGTCAGAGCTCCCTCTTCACTTTGCCTTCCTCCATGCAGGGGGCTACTTCGCCCTTCACCTCCCTTCTCCAAACCTCTGTTTTGGGCTGGGCTAAGGGAGTTGACCACACCCCGGGGGAAAGACCCTGATGAGACTGTGCACAGTTTTGCCCAGCGCCGCCTTGGTCCTGAGGTAACACTGCCCAGAGGCCCCCACAACCCTGCCCTCCTAAATTAGCTGCAGAGCCCTTTACTCAGACCTACAGCCTAGGGTCTCTTCTGTATCATCTGAAAATGCCCTCTTCCCTTCATACCCAGTAGTCCCCAAAACTCAGTGTTGTGGGTGAATGCCTTCACTTCCTTCCCATTCTTCTGTTATGGTGGAACTGCTTCCCAACCAAACCCTACCCTACCTCCATTCCCTACCAAGCAGGGGCAGGGGAAATTAGTGCAGCTTATTCCCTGGACTCTCAATCCCAGTCTCACCCTTAAGGTGGCGTCTCTAGCCATGGACAGTCTCTGCCGTGGAGTGTTTGCTGGCAACAGCCGTGAGCTCAGCATCAGGTCCTGCTTTCCCAGTCTCTTCCAAGCTGAGCAAACCCATCGTTCCATATTACTGGGGCTGCTGCTGGGGGCAGGTGAGGGGGGGTGTTGGTTCAAGGGTTGAAGATACTAAGGACTGCCAGAGTGAGGGACTGGAGGCAAGGGGTGCTATTCTAATGATTCTTCTCTGCTTCCTCCCCTGCAGGGCGGAGCCCACAGCCAGACTCAGCTCTCATTCACCAAGCTAGGGCTGAGCGCTGGAGCCAGTGGTCACTCCGTGGAGGGCTGGAGACGTTGCCCCAGGCCCTTAACACCTACCTGACTAGTAGGGGTGTCAGTATTCTCAAAGGCCAGCCAGTCTGTGGGCTTAGCCTCCAGGCAGGAGGGCGCTGGAAGGTAGGAGAGCCCCCTGGAGTGTAACCAACCTGTGTGTTAGAGTTTTCATCTTTGTCTAAATGCTTTAGTTGGCAAAACTGGAGTTACTCCTGGTTTTCCCGCCTTAGAAGCTATTTAAATAGGGGCTACCCCTGGTTCTTAGGCCTTATTTGTGGACCTTGCTCCAAGACCCATTTGATCCAAGTTTTTGGATTGAAGTAGTGCTTATAAGGCTCCCAGGTAGGAGAAAGAACCACCCAGCTCCCCTAAACATTTCAGAGTGGCCACACTGGCCTCTGGCCCAATTCCTGGAGTAATAGGGGGTTGATTTTTGTGCTGACTACTTAGTCATTCAGTCTCTTCATCCTGGGTCAGCACCTAGTCTCTCTCCTGCCACTTGGGTACCTGGGAAACTGAGGCAAAATTCTCATGATCTGTGTGTCTTTCAACGTTTTCATCCTCCCAGGTGTCTCTAGGGCACAGCAGCCTGGAGGCTGACCACATTATTAGTGCCGTTCCAGCTTCAGGTAATGGGGTAGCCACCCTCCCCTTCCCTAACCAGGGTGAGGCAAACTGTATCTCCTTCCTGGGCCAACAGAACCATACCATGCCCCTGAACTGGTCATCCCTGTGGGAGTCCAATCCCAAGGAGGGTTGGTGAAACTGTAGTGTGTCTGCCTCCTGAGGCTGGCCTCTGACTGCTCTCCTCTAGTACTCAGCAAGCTGCTCCCTACTGAGGCTGCACCTCTGGCTCGTGCCTTGAGTACCATCACTGCTGTGTCTGTGGCTGTGGTGAATCTACAATACCAAGGAGCTCGTCTGCCTGTCCAGGTGACAGAGGAAGGGGAGACATGGGCTCATCTGGAACCCTTCCCTCCTGACCCAGTCTTTTCCTGTTCTCCAGGGATTTGGACATTTGGTGCCATCCTCCGAAGATCCAGGCATCCTGGGAATCGTGTATGACTCAGTCGCTTTCCCTGAGCACGATGGGAGCCCCCCTGGTCTCAGACTAACTGTGAGAGAAGGCAGCTTTGCTTAGTGGGGGTTCCCAAAGGGCTCCTCTGTGCCCCAGTGTAGGTAAGTCCAGGCTGGTCAGTGCCATATTCCCTCCCTAGGTGATGCTGGGAGGTTCCTGGTTACAGATGCTGGAAGCCAAGGGCTGTGTCTTATCTCAGGAGCTGTTCCAACAGAAGGCAGAGAAAGCAGCTGCCACACAATTAGGTCTGAAGGAGCCACCAAGTCACTGCTTGGTCCATCTACACAAAGTGAGTTGGTAACACAAGATAAATACTTTTCAGCTACCCCCTGAAAGCCCTGGAGGCAGGGACTAGTATATTTGTCATTGTCCATCTAGGCCTGGGACATCAGTAATAATTTTTTCCTTGTATTCCCTTTTCTCTCTCCAGAACTCCATCCCTCAGTATACACTAGGCCATTGGCAAAAACTGGGTAAGTTGGGAAGGCAACTGGGCTGCGGAGAGCCATGGAGACCCCCACCTGTAACATTCCTTTTTATCTTTTCCTTCCAGAGTCAGCTACCCAATTCCTGGCTGCTCAAAAGCTGCCCTTGACTCTGGCCGGAGCCTCCTATGAGGGCGTTGCTGTCAATGATTGCATAGAGAGTGGGCGCCAGGCAGCAGTCCAGGTCCTAGGCATAGAACCTAACAGTTGATCCTCAATTCCCACATCTTCCTGCCTCCTGCGGGTGGGGATTCTCTTACCCATGAAAATAAAAGTTGCTGGAGTTTAGCTTGGTCTGGCTGTTCTGTCACCTACGGGCATAAGGAGGGGTAGGTGAGCAAAGACAGGCAAAGGGTGCCTGGGATGCAGAAAGCAGGAACAGAGGTGAGACAGAGTCCTTTATTAGAAAATATATCAAAATCCCAGCCTCCTGAGCCAGGTCCAGAAGAGGGAGCTACTCCAGCACTGGCACAAAGTACCCAGGGAGGGGCTTCCTTCAGACATACTTCCTGGGGACCATAAATAGAATAAATATTCACAGAAGTCCCAGAAGAAGCCAGATCACTCTTCTCTCCATGGAAGAGGAAGGGATTTGGGGTCCAGCCCTGCTCCTACCCCATGGGCAGGGGACTCTCAGGAGTCATCACATAAAATCATGACATCAAGGATTCACAGTCATAAGCCCTGGCAGGTGACCCTAGAAATAGGGACCCCCCAGGGCTAGAGGAGCTCAGCTCCAGTTCAGCAGTGAGGAGAGGCCTCTGCCCACAGCACAGCACTAGAGTTCAGTTCCCCCACAAACCCTCTAAGAGCAGTGAGGAGCTGAGGGTGGGGAGAATACAACCTCTCTGATTCAGTTTCATGATTAAGACAGGAAGAAGTCACTGTGAACCGTGGGGGGATGTGTGGTTGGCAGTAGGCAGAGGGCCAGGCCTGGCTGGGGGCCGGCGCTGCAGCATCTCCTGACGGAAGGCCTGGGAGGAACCAGGTGGGTAACGGGGACCAGAGGGCATCCGGGGACCCCGAGGGTCAGTTCCAATGTCTGCTGTGATGTTGGTATAGAGAGGGCCCAGCTCTCGAGCCAGCAATTGGTACGTCAGTGAGTTCATCCCATCTTGCGTCCAGGAATTCTGGGTACGGACCAGGAGGTCAAATCTGAGGGTTAGATATTGGAGACTAAGACCCAGAAAGGAAAAGCCAAGAATCTAGTGACCTTTAGGAGCCACCTGACTAAGGTACAGAATCCTGAAGATCCAGTAACAATTCCCAGGCAGTCCTCCCTTCCTACCTGTGGGGATTTTCCTCGTTGCCCTTATCTCCTCGGTGCTTCACCATCTTATAGTGTCCCACAGATGTGGGGGGGCGAGAGATCTTCATCCCAGCCAGGCGTACCCTATGGGAAAATGAGGGCACCTTAGAGGATCCAGAGTGGAGGAAAGCTGCTGACAGGTGAGCAAGAAGAGCTAAGGCCAGCAAGAAAGGGTTGCATGTTCTGTACACAAAGAACAGCTATTCCTAGTTAGGCGAAAAAAAGAAAAAAGCCAAGTACTGGAAGAGGAGAGCAAGTTAAACAGAAAGAAGGAAGCGGCTGAAGAGAATGGAAAAAGCTCGTTGTATCCAAATCCTCAGGGCTAATGCCAGGTACCCTGGGGCCTTTAAACAATTGGCAGAGGTAGGTTTGCACCTCCCATCTTCCTTTCCTAAATGGCTCCCAGGAGCTGCCCTTGTGGTCCGTGAAGGACTGAGAGGAGCCATTTTGTCAAAAAGATAGGACAAGCCTGGGAATTGCTAACCCAAGCTCAGCGATTCTTTCTTAGATTAGTGACTGAGTTTCTTCACTCCTGTGCCCTCCCCTTCCCCACCCCACCCCCATGTTAAGAAAAGAAATGGAACCAAATAATCAGGATCTGTAAGAAACAAGCTCCAACTTTGACACAGAAGCAAATGAAGATGGCCTGGGAAGGTACTGAGAGAATATACACATTTAGAAATTGCTAGGTGCTTTACACACATACAGAGAACAAGAATTCAGAGAGATGCCACCTCAAGAGGACAAAGTGGGAGGAAAGGCAATGGATCCAACATATCAAGCCCGAGTATTCACACCACAGATATGAAACTGGGTCAGCCAAGGCTGAAGGTCAAAATGTTTCACATGCTAAAAATGAGTTGGCATCATGCCACTGGCACAGACTTTAAAAAAAAAAAAAACTGGGCTATGTGGAGCAGAGTCCCTCCTTTCCCAGCCCCACAGGAAGTGGTCTGGACGCAATCCTAGCAGAGGCAGCACTAAACGGTCTCTAGGCCCCTTTCCAGCTCCAGAATCCCATGATACTATAGCCTATTCATCTTTTCTTCTCTCCTAGGAACATAACTAATCAGATCTAGGAGCCTGAAGGATAAGAGAATGGAGAGCAGCATGCAAAGCCTAGGTAGACTAAGACTCAGGGGGATGAATGGGCAGGACCAGGGAGCTATAGGTTAATGGTAAAGGGCTATGGTCATGGTGGTCTCAGGGGACAGGAAGCCAGGCTAGGGTGAGGAAGGGAGGTGGTGGCAGGAAGTCTGACCTGGTAGCAATGTCGTCATCCTCACCACCCCAGCCCCAGTATTCATTGGGGAAGCCATTCATTTTCAGGTACTGGTCAGGAGTGAGTGCCGAGACCCCTCCAAAATACTGAGGGTACGGGAGGCTGGGGAGAGAAAGATCCTTGGATTCCACAAGTCTAGAGGAGACATCTCTACCCACAGTCCCCTCAGTTCCTCCACTGGATGGTGGGTTTCCCTGCTTCCAGTACCCTCTCATGCCTTCTACCTGTATCCAAACTTGTTCATGGCAACAGCAACGTGCCGGGGTCCCCGGGGGTCACACACATACAGATTGTGGTCATTCTCTGGCAGGAGGTCCACGTCATGCAAGAACAGGCAGTCCCATTCTTCATCACGAAGGGCCTCCCGCACCCCAACATTCAGCAGCTTTGCCCTGTTAAATGTTCCATTTCCAGCCTGAAAGATAATGGAGGAGGACCAAACAATGTCTATAGGTAGCATGGAGAAGAGGGGGCAGAAGTATAAAGTGAAAAGAGATTGAAAATCAAAGTGGGATGTAGGACCAAGAGAATGAAGAGAAAGACAAACTTTCCTTTTCTCATTCCACAAAAAAAAAATTGAGTATCAGTATGTGCCCGACTTACGCTGCTGTTCAGCATTTAATCCTGACAACCAACAGCCATGTGAAACAGGTGGTATATTAGTTATTGCTTTTTGCCTCATTTTAGGGAGTTAAGTATCTTGTTCAAGGTCACATATTGGAACAAATGGCAGAAGTAGAATTTTAGCCCATATCTATCCAATTCCAAATTTGCACAATTCCAAATTCAAGAGAGGAAAAATCATGAAAGTATTATAGGACAGTGGGAATACCCTAAGCAGAATAAGGAGAGAGATGGGGCTAACATGTTAGCAGAGCAGTGCTAGATGCATTCCCACATTCAACAGTCTGACCTCTTAAAGTTATTTCAGTGACCCATTATTTGAGAGTGGAGTGGAATTTACTTGAGGCTTCCTTATAAGAAAAAAAAGTCAGAGTGGTGCGGGGTTTGGGGGTACCTGGTGAATGACATAGATGCCATAAGCAAGCTGCTGGCGCTGCAGGAACGGGTGCAGGTGATAGAGCAGCAGGCGTAGGTGATGCTCCCGGGCACGGTGGGGCACAATGATGGCTGTTCGGGACCGGGGCTCACACCCTGCAGGGCGGTACCTGCCCCCCGGTTCCACCCGCGGATTCCTCTCCACAATCTCTGCCAGCGATGGCACTGGGCTAAAGGACACGGACACGGGACCCACTGTCGGAAGGGAATGGCAAGGTCAGGGACTAGAGGGGCAAGGAGAACTGTCCCTGGCAGTCTGATTTGGGGGCTCTGCTTCCCCAAGGGCTCTTTCAGAAATCTCACAAAGCCTTGGGTTCCCCATCATTGGGACAGCTTTGCAAAGTCTGGAAGGTGCAGGCTCCTTACCCAACCTACCTTCTTATTTTAGGATTCCAGAAGTCTCTCCTACCTCACAAGGTTGGAAGCTTACAGTTAGGAAATGGAGAGAACAGAAGGACCTCCAACTAACAGCTAAACCAGGGATTGTCTACAAAAGAAGTAATTCCTAGCCCGAGGTGGGAAGAGCCCATAAATGAGCAGGCAATGGAAAGCTGTGCCTCAACCTAAGAGCTTAATCAACCCCCCAAATTCAGAGTCCATTGTATCCCAACCTCTGCCCACCTTCCAATTACAAGGAACCTCCTGTTCTAAGACCAACTCCTGCCATCCTATGCCTGTCCAAGCCTCCCTGCCCCCACACCTTGGTATTCCCTTCACTTCTGCCTTCCTTCTGTACTCACCTAAGAGAGGAGATCGTTCTGGACAGTAAGGCAGACCTTGAGGAGCTGGAGGGGCTCCTGGGGCAACAGGGGCCCCAGGCAGGTGACTGAGGTTACTGTAGACATCATGGGGATGAGAATAGTCAAATGTTGGCTCCTGCTCTCGGCCAAATAGGGCACTGAGGCTTCGGAAGCCCCCCAGTGACAGGTACATCATGACGGCCAGCTGGGAGCCCACAAGCAGGGCCAATGTGCAGGGCCGCTCCAGCAGCCGCCGCAACATCCTGGGGTAAGGTCTGGAGAGGGAGAGAGGAGAGTTCTGGGGCAGGCAGGAAGAGAGGAAACCAACAGATCATCAGGTAGGAATGAAGGTGGTGCCAGGGGTAAAGAGGAAAAAGTGGCAAAGAACAAAGTCACAGAATGGAGCACACAGATGTACAGAAAGAAATAGAATGCAACCACCAGCAGCCCTACCACCTGTCACTTCCAGCCCAAGTTTCACTCTCCTCCACCCCTTCCTCAAACTGCTCTGGCCGTCTATTCTCAGTCCCCACCCCCAAGAATGCTTACATCATGTCCCAAGGCCATTTCAGAGGATTCTCTGGAGAACCTCTCTTCCAGTTTTAGAGGGGGATAGACTCACCTAGATTCAAGGTGTCTTCTTCAGGATCATGGGGGCTCCAGAGGGTCCCGGGGGAGCAGTGATGTGAGACATTATCTAAAATTGGAAATGTCACAGAGGACAGAGAAAGGCTCCATCCATAACTCCAACAGCGATCTTGGGACCAGCTGGAACAGAGGTGGTCAACGATAACCAGCCACACGCAGAGGGGCAGAAATTAGGATCAGGGTGAAGCCGGTTTCCCAGCTGGGGAAGTGAGAGAAACTGGTTGGAAAGAAAAGGGGAGGAGCAGGATTT